AGGGCTAGGAACACAACTCAGTGGTAGAGTACTTGAGTAACCCATACATGGCTCCGAGTTCCATGCCCGGTACTATACAAAACAAACAAAAACAATGACATGCCAAATGCAAACAGTTCAATTGTTTCAAATGGGCTGGAGGAATGGCTCAGTGGTTAAGAGCACTGCCATTCTTCCAGAAGAACCATGTTCAATTCCTAGCATCCACATAGCAGCTCATAATCTTCTATAACTTCAGTCTTCTTCCACGGGCACCAAGCACATATAGGGTGAAAAAAACTTAAAAGCAGACAAACACCCATACACATTTTTTTCTTTTTGTTTCAAGGCCAGCCTGATCATGAGAGTTCCAGGGAAGTTTGTCCTCCCCCACAATTTTCAAATACTTCAAAACAAACTATGCTCTAACTTGATCATACATAAAGCACCTATTTCTAGGTAATACGTCTGTTAACAGGGCTTCTGTATTAAAGACCTTCGGTTTTGAAAACAACAACAAAATCTTCAGTTTGGGAAAGAAAACTGAGTGGGGGGGTTGAACCTAGGGCTTCACAAGTGCTAGGCAAGAGCTCTAAAAACTGATCTACATCCCCAGCCCTCTTTTTGCCTTTCATTTTTGAGACAAGGTTTCCCTAAGTTGCCCAGGCTGGCCTTGAACTCACTCTGCAGGTCAATAAGGTCTTGAACTTTTGATACTTCCACGTAGGCCTCCTAAGAAGCTGGGGTAATAGACCTTTGCCAACAGGTCTAGGTGAAAATAATATTCTTGCTATCACATAAGCAAAAGAATAAATAAAAGGGGCTATTTTCTGAAGCCATTTTCTTAAATCACAAAACTACTGTTTTGAATAAGAATTATTATTTCCTATTTACTAAAATGGTAAGCTGTTCTGAATTCACTAAATTTAAGAATTATTGTTGTGGCTGGACTCCAACATGGCCAATGATCCCATCATCCTGGTATTCATACCCAACTGTAATAATCCCCTTCTCTGTTGAAAGTGGTCTAGACTTAGTGACTAGCTACTAATAAACCAAATGAGACCCAAATGACTCGGAGTAGTCATAAAAAGCATGGTGACTTCATTCATTTTCTCCGTACAGCGAGCACACATTTTGAAACACAAGTCATATCATCTTAGAAGTGCATCCTTTGGCTTTAGACAAGTCTTCAGAGACTATCCAGCCCAATCTAACAGTTTGAATGTGACCTCAAGAGAGAACCTAACCCAGAATCACAGAGCTACAATAATCCCAGATTTGTATAAAGGAGCCTGAGAAAACTTCTGAAGTGGTTGAAACATTACCTTATCCACAGTGGCATTTATACATATGAATACATTTGTTAAAGTAAAAATTATGCTATTAAAGTAGCACATTTTATTATTTTTAAACTACATTTCAATAAAGTTGATCTTTTTCAAAGTCACTGAACTCTTGATGAAGTGTTACTTTGAAAAGCAGTCTATTAATTAGTTCTGGGAATTCCGAGCAGGCAGCAAGAAAACAGAAGCTATAAGAACAAGCAACCATCACAAACCCACATGTCCTAAACTGCTTCTTCCTCATCTATAGCCCTTCCCAGCTCAGATGAGAGCAACCCCACATTTCCAGTTAGTCTAGCCAAAGAGGTGGAGCTGCTTTTAACACTCTTTTTCCCACCCACCACATACAACTTATACATAAATTCAGATGGTTTTATTTCAGAACACATTCACCTCTCACTACTACACCTTGTTAAGATTACTTCAATAGCCAAACTGGTCTCCCTATTTCACTTTGGCCTGTACAATCTATTACCAACCTAGAATGCAGAGTGAATCTCTCAAAACCTAACACAAACTGTATCATTCATCTGCTTGGAACCCTGAAACCACTCTCAATTTCACTCATAATAAAAGCTGGTGTAAGCCAGGTGTAATGGCTCATACACCTTTACCCAGAATATTGGAGACTGACGGAAGAGTATTAGAAGTTCAAGGCCACCCTTAGCTATATAGCAAAATCAAGATCAGTCTGAGATATGTGAGACCCTGACTTTAAAAACTAAAACTAAAACAAATCAGGGAAAATAAAAAAAGTAAAAAACAATACCTTTGGGTAAGTGAGACAGTTCAGTGGGTAAGAACAATTGCTACCATACTTGGTAACTAGAGTTCAATCCCTGAAGAACAGATCTCCACAACCTTACACATGTATATACTATATAAAAATATAAAACACCCCCCCCCAAAGCCTGTCTTAGTCTACTGTAGCCATACTGGCCTGCTTGCTGTTTATATAATATGTAGTGCATGCTCCTTTACAATGTTTTTTCCACCTAGAGCATTTCTCTCCAGATCATTTCCTAACCTTCTTTAGGCTGCTTTTCTACCAACACCACCTATTTAAAATTGCAAATGTTCCTGGTCACTTACAAGTCAAGAGAAACAAGCTGATTGCAAGGTAACTATGTTAAAGCAAGGGGATTTACACACCTGCAATCCCAGCAATTGGAAAGTATAGGCAGGAGGATCAGGAATTCAAACTAGGTGGAAAAAATATGATGATAGTCATTTGGTATTTGATAAAAAAATAAGAATTAACATTGGGGAAAGGTCTTCCAATTGTCTTTTTGGTAATCAGCCTTAGACCTGTGGAGACAGAAAGTCTAAAGATAACAACAAAGCATAAAGGGAGAAAGAAAATATAAGCTCCCACAGTCTGAATGCCATGGATGAGAAAACCTAGGTTAATCAGAGTACTTTATCTTAGCAGTCCGCAGCAACATGCTAGGAGAGTATTGTTTGCTGCCTTTCTTTTGGTGAGTATAGGTGTTGGCAAAACTATACATGAAAGATCTGTCAGCTACATGTAAACACAACTTTGGACTATAGCCCTACTCACCTGTTTAGCTCTTTTGACACTACAACTACAGAGAATAGCTGCAACACAGAACACAAGCCTGCAGAACTGAAAATATTTACCATCTGTCCCTCTTTTAGAAAAACAAACTTCTAAAACTAGTATTAACAAGATGTAAATTTTTTGATACCTTGCACCAGTTTTATCATTTGCTAATGAAACGGAAACATATGATAAATACCAATTTTCACTTTCTAATTAGGCAAGCTACAAGAAAGTAAATTATGTAACTATTACTCATTGTTTTTTAAAACCCTGCAGTATTTCCCTTTTCAATATACAGATTGGCTGGTTGCCCATAAAAGATCAAATCTAGTCAGGTGGTGTTGGCCCAAACCTTTTTTTTTTGAGACAGGGTTTCTCTGTGTAGCTTCAGAGCCTGTCCTGGCACTCACTCTGAGACCAAGCTGGCATCAGAAGGCAGAAACAGGTGAATCTCTGTGAGTTTGAGGCCAGTTTAGTCTACAGAGCAAGCACCAGGACAGTCAGAGTTACACAGAAAGAAATCTTGTCTTGAAAAACAAAACAAACAAACAAGAGATCAAATCTAAACAAAATCTTTCATTGTACTTAAAACAGATCAATCTTTTAATTACTGTTTATACTGACAATTCTTTTCAGTTGCTTTTATTTTTTTTAAGAGTTACTTTATTATTTGTGTGTGGTATGGGGTGCAGATGTGTCTGAACACCAGGGTACAGTTTTTCAGGACCAGCTCTTTCCTTCTGTTTTTGTTCTGTGACTGTGATACTGTGTTAGTAGTTCCTCTAGACTATCTCCCACCTTGTGGTAGGAATGCTGAAGCTGTAATAACCACAATGGTTTCTGAGGATCATTGCTGTCATCAAGGTTGCCAGGCGTACATTTTTACCTGAAGAGCCATCATACCAGCATTAGTTTGAGATAGGGTCTCACTGTGGCCAGGCTGTTTTGGGATTCATTAAGAAGTCCAGGAACTGCCCTCAAATTAAAGAAGCAAAATCTGCCAAGCCACACAAGAGTTTATGCTATTCATGATGACACTTAGAAAACTAATTTAGCAAGTTGCTAGAAACAGGTATGGTAACATACTACAAGCTGGGTGTGGTGGCACACACCTGTAACCCCAGCAGTCAAGGTAGAGTCAGGAGGATCAAAGAGTTCTAGGTTGACCACAGCTACAAGAGACTGTATGTCTCAAATAAAATACAAAAACCACCCCAGAAAAACAAACAAAACCCCAATGTAAAGCACGCTTGTTTCTAATTTAAATAAAAAAAAAACATGATATGTGCACAAACATAGTCAGGCCACATAAAAAAAGAAAACTAAATCACCAACAAAACCATTCTACAGAGAAAGTAGGAGAAATATTGAATACACAATTGGATATAAAAATTCACAAATCATTTGATTTAAAAATACATTTTTATTCTTTGAAAGTCTGACTCCTTGATCAAAGATCAACCAATATAAAATACTATTTATTAAATTTTTATCAAGTGATATAATACAGATTTTAATAGCTATCAGTGTAAATATTTCCATCTATATTTTCATAACTTTAACCTCAACTTCTAACATAAAAATTGTAAGGCATTTATCTGAATTCCCAGAAAGTTTATCTTAAAAAAAAAAAACAGAAAATATTTAAGTAGTTTTCTTATGATTTTCTTAAAATAAAATTTGCTATATTAACAAAATACCTGTAATTGTTTGTAAATACAGAAACATTTAGCTTTTTAAAATTTTTAAACATAGTTTTTACCCCATTTTTTTTCTTTAGTTCATTTTTCACAGGACTATAGTATTATACATTAGCAGACACAAAAAATTCTTATTAACGTTCATAGAAATTAAAATTTGAATATCAAATGTAGAGTATTAGAACTTCTCATGACAATCATATATGTATATCATACACACACACATATATACATAATTAGGAATCAAATGTCATAAAAGTCATTAAAATCATTTTACATTCTTTTAACACAAAAACAAATCTAACCATATGTCTGGATAGTCAGACTAGTAATCTCCTTACTAAAATGCAATTACTCAGACAATAATAAAACAAACCACAATACTTTAAATTGCAAAAAGATATTTCCTACCTTGCCTGCTTCTCTTTCTAAGTCGACATATTCCCGGCTAGGTGTTTGTCGCTGTTCTCCCTGCCAGCTGGCCGGAAAAAACTGGAGAGACAGATTGGTTCCTGTGGCCACAAAAGCCTTTTAGAAAAATCAATACAAACAGGATCAGGAGCAGGACATTACATAAATTATGCAGGCAGTCATTTATTTTTACATCAGTTTATGTCTTAAGCCAGGCAGCACCGAGAATACTTAAAAGTAAAAAACATGCACTCATCATTTTTCTTAAGTATTAAGTTACAAACATCTGATTCCATTTTAAGGACATTTGCCATTGGCTGCTTAAATATAAAATCAGACATGGAATCAATACTTTCTTTCAGGTCATTTTTTTGCTGACGTTAGAAACTCACATTGCTTGTGTCTAACCAAAACTTCTATCCCTGGATTTAAAAACTTTATTTTCAAATGTGAAAAATCACTCATGATTTTGAAAAGTATAATATAACTTTGTATAAATGAGATATTTTAATTTTTCTTGATTCTTTGGCTCAAGAAAACATTCAACCATGTATGGTGGTGCATTTAAAAAACGTGCAGTATTTAAGTATGTTTTAAAGCACGAGTTCCAAAGCCCATCAAAAAAAAAAAAAAAAAAAGTACTAGGAGGCCAGGTGTGACAGTGCACATCTTCGATTCTGACAGCACTCAGGAGACAGAGGCAGATGGAGCTCTGTGAGTTTGAGGCCAGTCTGGTCTATATAGTTGAGTTCCAGGACAGCTAGGGCTACATAGTGAGATTCTGTCTCCAAAAAAGAAAAGAAAAAAAAAAGTTAGTGGCACAGTTCAATACACGGAACAATCTAACACCATCTCCAAAGCATCATTTTATGTAGCCTCTGAGCAATTTAGCTCTATTTCCCCACATAAAACAAAGTCCCCAAAATACCACTATTCCCCTTTCTAAGAGAGATTTTGAAAGAAGTAAAAAAAAAAAATCACATTTAAAAAAAAAATACATTTGATCTGGAGAGATGGGAGATGGTTCAGTTGTTAGAACACTGGCTATTCTTGCAGAGGACACGGGATCAATTTCCAGTACCCACATGGTGGTTCCCAATATCTGTAACTCCACTTCAAGGGGATCCTGTGTCCCCCTTTAAGCCCCTGAGGAAACTGCACACACAGTGCTCAGATGGCATACATGGATATGTGAAGTAAAAACAGGAGTGTCCTGACATAGTCGGGAAGTATAGCCTAGGCCTGACAGTCCAGCTTTGAAACCCTATCTAGAAAAATAAAAACATAATGAAAAACTCAACATTTTAAGCTGTGCATAGTGGCACATGCCTTTAATCCCAGAACTTGGGAGACAGAAACAGCAAGATTTCTGTGAATCCAAAGCCAGTATGGTCTACCATAGTGAGTTCCAGGACAGCCAGTGCTACCCTGACTTGGAAAAAAAAATCATTTTAGGGGCTAGAGACAGCTCAGCTCTTAAGAACACTGGCTACTTTCAAAGGACTGGAGTTTGATTCTCAAAATCCATACGGGGTCTCACAATCATCTGTAACTCAACTCCCAGGGGACCTAATGCCCTTTCTAATTTCTGGGCGCGAGGCACATCACACAGGGCATAGACGTACACAAAGGCAAAACATCCATATACATAAAAAAAGTTTTAAAGCCATCCATATATGAACTCTTCTTTGCTGGAAGCATAGTTTTAAATTTTGCTAATTCTGAAGCGTCAATTGTTTCTAACCATAATCATCATTTGAAAGCTAGAGACTCACATTCGGGGGATTTGCTCAGTCACTAGATGATGAATTTATCCATCAGTTCCCCAGGAATAACAACTTCAGAAGAAAGGGGTCTCACTATGCGGTCCTTTTTTCTCTCCACCTCCTACTTATTTATATCACTGGTACTATAGGTACATTTCTTCAGCCTAACTGCTCAATCTCTCAACTGGGCAAGTTTCACCCATAAAAGCCCCACCAGCACAAGTTCAAATGAAAAGCAGATTCATGAATTCAAGTTCATCTTTGGCTATGCATTAGTTTAAAACCAACTTGGGCTCCACGAGACCCTGCCCAACCCCATCCTCTCCCAAAAATGAAAACCAAAATTCTAGAAGGAAATATGCCTAGGCTGTATGACCGAAGGCATACCTCAGTTTCCTTATTTATTAAGCTGCTTAGAAAAGTACCAATAAGCACTATATAAATGTGTACTGAATAATATAAAAGAAATAATCCCTTTCCCACAGAATGCTCTAAAACTCAGCACAGAGCCCAAGCTGTTCAAATTCAAGGCAGTCCTCCTGTCTTGGGATCACAAGCAGGAGCTTGTCATGCTAAGCTTTGTCTTTGGAGACTATCTTGCTATTTTGCCCAGGCTGTCTTCAAACTCCAGGGGCTAAGTCATCTTTTTCACTCAATTTCTTCAGTACTGAGACTACAGGCACAAAGGCTATACACAGTCGAAGAGAAATTCGACTGTGCTAACTTTCTTGGCCTTAGATAACATTTTCAGAGCAGAGAATTGGCAGGTTAAACCCAGCCCAGGAGGCATGTTTGTTGACAGCTGTTTTTACTAAGAGGCAAATCCTTCAACCTCTAGTGCCCTAAACCAGCTCTGTGCTAAGACACTGCAGATCCTATTACCTCACATCCTGTCTGAATGGCAACCTCAGACTTAAGGTGGGTGTTGCTCACTCCTGAAATTATAGCAATCAAGCAACAGAGGCAGGAGAATCAAGAGGTCCAAGGCTAGCCTGTGTTCAGTGCTGCCCAAGCCTGACAACAACACAAGTTCACCTCCAGGACCCACAACATGGAAAGAAAGAACTGAGTCCAGTTAAACTGTCTGACTTCCACAAGCACACCATTCATGTCAGAATGAGTGCCTACAAGCATGTGTGCGCGCAAAAACAACTGTAATATCCAAAAGAAGATAAGTTTCTGCTTCTCTAACTTCATGTCTATTATCTGAAGAATCTTCTCATGAGGATAAAAGTGGCAAAAACTGATAAGCAAGTACTGCAACCCCATCTTTTTCTTTTCTTAAAAAAAAAATAAAAGACAAAACCTCACTATGTCGTTCTGGTTAGCCTAGAACTTACCACATAGACCAGGCTGGCCTAAAATTCACATTGATCTGCCTGCCTCCTGAGATCTAGGATTAAAGGTTTGGACCACCTTGCCCATCAAAACACCAGTTAACCCATCTTTTTAATGGAATACCTACACACATGAAAGAATTGGGAAACTCTGAACTCATTCAACAGCACACGTTGTTTTAGAACCCAACATACTTCTTACTATTCAAATTTCAGGATTAAAAGTATGTATTAGTGAGAAAATGAACAAGTAAAAAAAAAAAGTATATATTAGAGGCAGTAGGATTGGAACTTTGAGGCTATCCTGTTACAAAGTGTCTCACCACACACACACACACACACACACACACACACACACACACACACACCTGCACACGCGCATGATTAACTTTCACTTTTCTCACAGTAGAACTATAACTCTCACATAGACATTTTTCTAAAAATTATTTCTTATATTATTAGTATCAAAGACATTTACAACATGTTTACTCTAAGAATTAATGACCAGGCATGTTGGTGCACACCTTTAACCCAGCACTCAGGAGGCAGAGGCAGATGGATTTCTGAGTTCAAGCCTAGCTTGATTAACAAAGCAAGTTCCACCACATAAATTTTAGGCTTTAAATTATATAACCTCTAAATTCAAAATTCAGTTAATCAAATATTTTTAATGTAAAACAAAAATTATGATATTTTTACTTAGAAGATATTCAGAATATGGTCTCTATCTCTGTGAGCTAAGGGTCCTGTAAGTTTTCTTTGGAGGAGGGCTAGGCATGACCTCAACCACTGGCTGGAACAGCCCTAGTCCACAGGATCCTGTATTTACAGTGAGGCAAAAGGGCCATCCTCAGTTACACACTGAATTAGCCCAGCCTGGGCTACTTGAGAGCCTGCCAGCTATCAAAAATCTGCCAAAAAGCAATGAAATAAATGTAGATAGCATAATCCTAGCTAGTCAGGAAGCACAAAGATCACAAGTTCAAAGCAACTTAGTAAGAGTCTCTCTCAAACTTTAAAATAAAATGTTTTCAAAAGGGCCATGGAGGCCAGACAGCGTTGGCGCACACCTTTAAGCCCAGTGCTTGAGAGCCAGAGGCAGGCAGATCTCTGTGAGTTCAAGGCCAGCCTGGTCTACATAGAGTGCCAGGACAGGCTCCAAAGCTACATAGAGAAACCTTGTCTCAAAAAACAAAAAAAGAAAAAACCAAACAAAAGGGCCATGGATACAGCTCAGTTTTATGGAATATTTGCCTACCAAGCTCAATTCTTACTACTGGGGTGGGGAAAATAGGTAACAATTAATTAAAAGATGAAAACCAGAAAGAGATGGAAATTTGAAATTCCTTCCCCAATACAAATAGTTAAATTACTTAACAAAGGGCCAATGAGAAGGTAAAGGTACTTATATTGCCAATCCTAACAACATCAACTCAAACCCTGGGACCCACATGGTGAAGGAAAGACCCAAGCTATCCTCTAACCTCAACTCAACTCACCATGGCACACATACTGCCCCCTCCACTAAATCAATAAACATTAAAAAAAATTTAAAAACTAATTACTTGCTGTGGAGCCCAGTTCCAATGAATACATTTACAAAACATGCCTGTACCTAAGCCTGAGGGAACTCTGAAAAAGGGACAGAAAGTCTGTGTAAGAGCCACAGAGCAGGGAATTTTCTATGACTGTGTCTCCAGTAATGTCAAAAGCTGTATTCACAGTCACCAACATGACTGTCCAAACATGAACTGAACAAGGATGACACTGGGTATGTCAAAGTGGATGGGGAAAAGCCCACTAGGTTCCAACCCTACACAAAGAAGGGAGGCATCCAAGGGGAGAGGTCCAGTGCCAAATGGTCAGCCCTTAAAACATACATACAAATAATATTGTATGGACTGAACAGGTTATATTTAGAAATATATATATATATATACATAAAAAATTTTAAAAAGCTTTGAATTTGAAGAGTGGGGAGGAGATATGGGAAAGCTTGGAAAGAAGAAAAAACAGGAAGAGAGAAATGTAATTATAATCTCAAAAAAGATTAAGAGTATGGAATAAAAACTCTCCCTTCTCTCATTTCTTTTTATAGCTGTATCCATCCCACCCACCCACCCATCCATCCATCCCTGGCTATCCTGGAACTCAGTCTGTAGACCAGATTGCCTTTAAACTCAAGCAATATACCTGCCTGCCTCTGACTCCTGAATGCTGGGATTAAAGGCATGCGTGGCCACCACTTGGCTCAATCTACCTTTCTTTTATAAAAATTTTCAGAAAATAAACAAAGCTTATTAAAATTTGTAAGGAACTGGGGTGCTTTTCAGTTGTGCCAGGCATGGTAAACACCTGTAATTCTAGGACTTGGGAGGTCCAAGCAAGAGATTGTAAATTCATCCAAGGCTATATTGCCAGCCTAGATTACATACGACCTTTTCTCAAAGAAAAACAGAAAATAAAATTTGTAGGATCAAATACTTAAAGAGAGCCTATAATGTCTAATTAATTCTGAAAGAAATTTATGATAGACATAGCAAGCTGTATCACTGCTAGATCACAACATTAAAATACAGCTGTTTAGATATACTGTGCCTTGAATTATATGCCCAATTTATAATTATATGCACCAAACTCTGATAGGACAAATAAATCCTACTGGCTACATATCACTGCATCCAAAAGAAAAAAAATCAACTCAGCTTTAAAAAACAGTAACTTAGCCGGGCGATGGTGGCACACGCCTTTAATTCCAGCACTCGGGAGGCAGAGGCAGGCGGATCTCTGTGAGTTCGAGGCCGGGCTGGACCGACAGCCTCCAAAACAATACAGAGAAACCCTGTCTCGTAAAACCAAAAAAACAAAAACAAAAAAACCAGTAACTTACTTTATTTGCATTTTATTTTTATACTTAACATTGGTAACATCCAGGAAATCCTTTATCAAGTATATCATCCGCTTTTTGCTTCTGAAGCAGGCAAAAGATGCCATCATCACTGGACTGATGAAGGATTTTCTTATACCACTCAGGGTCAAAACTAAAAAGCATTTCTTATGCTTTTCAATCAAGTAATCATCACAATTATTCAAGAAACCAGATAAGGGTTGAAAGTAGTAGGCTTTCTTTATGAAACACCTTAATGATCAAATATTCTATAGCTCTTGATATATCTAATTAGTGTCACCTCATTATCAATTCAATACCAACATCCTTCATTTTAAAACCAAATCTAGTTTCAGTGACCAAAGGTTGAGTTCATGGTATGTGAATTACATCTCAATTAAAAAACTTTATGTGGGGAGTTGGAGCGGTGGCTCAATGGTTAACAGCACTGGCTGCTCTGCTCTTCCAGAGGATTTAGGTTCAATTCCCAGACCCACATGGCAGCTCACAGCTTTCTGTAATTCCAGTTCTAGGGAATCTGACATCCTTACAGATATAAATGCAAGCAAAAACACCAATGCACATTAAAAAAATCATTGTGTATGGGGAGAAAATACATTCAATAGTCTCGTACTGTTAGCCTGTATTCAAATTGTACCTTTGCTTCAAGTTTGAGCTAAGAATGAATGGGTCTGTCATGGAGCAAGTATTAAGACTCCATTACATAGTGCTTCAACTAAAAAACACACAAAAAACCCAAAACTGAAAACCTAATAATCTCTTTCCTACAGTCTCTTCCCTTTGCTGCTTCCTAACTAACAGACAAGAGAAGAACCAGGTCACTAATATTTTTTGGCCTAGGGCTTGCTGGGTAGTAGGCTTCAAATATAAAACAGGCGCCTCTAGATCAACTCCGGGTTTGGTTTCGTAGAACCAGGCCATCAATTCTTTAGGGATTCCAATACTAAGAGAGGCATGTTTACGTTAGAAAAAAAGGAAAACAAACGTTTCTTTCAGACTCTTAGCATTCTAAGAAAATGGTCCATCCTTTGGGGCCTCTCCCCATCCCCCCCCACCTCATTAGGACGACAGATAAGTGGAGTAGATTTACTCCCGGCTGTATTGGGAGATAGCTTCACATATAGATTTACCAATCTCGCTTCTCAGAAACAAACTATCGCTGACCCCAAATGATTCTTTTCACGAATGGGGAGTAGTCCTCCTACACACACTCCGATCCCTAGGCGATAACGCTTGCCAGCCTCGGGTTTCAGCTCCACTCCGAGAGCCGAGCCTGCTCTGGGATGCACAGACCACCGCAGCCGGTCACGGAGAAGGAACGCGTGTCCACCTGAGGGCCGGCCCGCCAGCGTCTGCTTTTCTGCCTTTCGAATCCGGACTAGGAAGTGAGACTGCGCCCGCTCAGTTCCGGGAGCCGCAGCGTCCGCGGCGCCGTGCGGAACCCGCCCGGGCCGCGCGCAACAAGTGACTGGCGCGCGCCCTGGGTCCCCGCGGCCTCCCCGCGCACCCGGGCCCGCCGACTTACGATCTCCGAACGGCCGTCGCGGCAGGCGTTCTGGAAGCGTGTCTGGCGCTCCTCGTGAGGCCGGTCCCTGAAGCCCGTGTACTTAATCTGCAAGGCGGAGATGGCCCGAAATCAGGAGTCAAATCCTCGGCGGCGCCCGCCCGCTCCCCGCGGCTCCGATAAGGGCAAGCAGAGTCTGTGGGCGGACTGCTGCCGGGGTGAGATTACCCCTCCGCCGGCTCGCCGCCTCGGGCTCCCCGGGAACCAAGCCGCTCAAACTTTTCTCCGCCCGGGCCCACTCGGGGCGCGCCAAGGCCTCCGCGCCTCCCACCCGCCTCACCTCACCTCACACTCGCGGCTCAGCTTCCTGAAGAACTCCTCGTTCTCGAACTTGCTTCTCTGGTCGGGTACGACGCGCGGCATCTTCGCGCCTTCAGGCCGCGCCGGCCGGCCGCGCTCCGGGCTAGCGCGGGCACCCGCTGGCGGGCTCGGTGCTGACCGGCTGACCGCCCACCCGCGGCGTCTGGACTCCCGCTGCTCTTTGTTTCAGGAGCCCGCCCGCGTGGGCTCCCGCTCCAGGGAGTCTGAGGTGCGGCCGTCTGCTTGAGCCCAACCCACACTACCGCCGTCGCCTCAGCCGTTGCTTGCCGCCCGCGCAGACACAGCTCTAGCCTCCCCCCGGCCGCTGCCGCCACTTCCTCTCGCCGGCCCCCCTTCTCTTCCCCTCTCCCCCGCCGGCCCCACCCCTCCTTCTCGCGCGCCCGCCCGCCTCAAACTCTGGCAAACAAGACGCACCATTCACAACTCCACGACCCGCGCCGCGCATGCGCCATCCACCAGCTTGCGGGGCCGCTGGGTTGCAGTGAAACCCGGCTCCTTCCGCAGCAAGATCTCCTTCCCCTAGACTGTCCGTGGGCTTCTTGGCGAACAACCTCCCAGAAAGGATCCGCCCCTCCCTTAGCAACTAGGAGCGGCCCCGCAGACCTTTTTTTTCTGCTCCTTCTGGGCTATCTGGAACTTGTTGGCTCCCCAGCCAGCCTCACAGAGTCACCCCAGATAGCCACTTCAATTCGAGGAAACCTAAGTCCTTGAGCACTTTGCACATTTCTTCACACAGCCAGAGAGGGATGTGGACTGTACACTAAAAGGTGGAAGCAGACATCTAGCCGAAACATGCTCGAAAGGTGGGGGCTGTGGGAGCCAGGTGGGCATTAAAGGTTCTGTATAGCTGTCTGTATGCAGGCGAAGGTTTTAGACAAGTACCAGACCAGTAAGTCTCAGATTGATAATTTCCAAAATGCATACTCATAAATTCATAGCGTCAGTGTGAGAGCATTTATGTAGGTCTAGCACATCGTTTAAAGAAAAACAGTCTAAATTATATATAATCCGTTGCCAGACTATATTTTTGCCCAAATGTGCAGTCGGATAGAAAAAACATCTGCAAGTTCTAGTGAAGGCATGTAGCCAGAGCAGAAGACAGTCTGGGTTTGCTACAGACTTGATCTAAAGCTGATCCTCAATAAATCCCGATCCTTACAATTCCAGTTTGTTAAAAGTTCAGTTCAAGGATGGCAAATGGGTGCCGACTTTGACAGCAAGTGACCAGACGCTAAGTATTGTGAGGATACACCCGAAGTCACTGGAATCAGTTGGCAGTGAATGCTTGAATACAGATTTTGGCAGAATTTTGCAGCCAGTCCAGTCAAATCTTATTTTGCAGATAGAGACCCAAACTTGGGTAAACAACTGTCCTAGTTTGCCAGAGACTGTCAATGTTTTAGCAATGACTCCCTAGCCTCGCCCCCGAAACTGCTCAATCCCTTACAAACTAGGATGGTTGGTCATCTTAACTGAAGTCTGGAGAGTTGATTGCCCAAAGTCAAGGGTTCATTGGTGTGTGTGTGTGTGTGTGTGTGTGTGTGTGCTACTTTTCTACTGCTGTGATAAAACATCATGTCCAAGGCAGTGGTGGTGGGGCATGGTGGTGACAGGAGCAGGAAGCTGAGGGCTCCCTTTTTCTCTTTTTTTTTTTTTTTTTTTTTTTTTTTTTTTTGGTTTGTAGAGGCAGTGTTTCTCTGTATAGCCCTGGCTGTCCTGGAACTCACTTGGTAGACCAGGATGGCCTTGAACTCTTGAGATTTGCCTACCTCTGCCTCCCAAGGACTGGACTTAAAGGTATATACCACCATGCTTGGCAAGTCATCTCCTCCTTAGGCCAGGCATGTCCCAGGGAGCCCCGAGCCTGTAGAATGGACATGTGTGCATGAATAGAAAGGGTGCAGTTGTAGATGCAGACAACAGCTGCTGATGAACCTTCAGCTACTTCACAATGTTTCACTCTGACCTCTTTTCACTTACTTATTTTTTAATGGTGTGTGTGTGTGTGTGTGTGTGTGTCTGTGTGTGTGCGTGTGCACACCTGCATGCACACAAGTATAATGTGTGTATGTGGGCACACATGCCATGGCTTGTATGTATAGTTCAGAGGACAACTTCCTGTAGTCAGTTCTGTCTTGTTACCTTTACTTGGGTTCCAGGAATTGAACTCACGTCATTAGACTTTACACAGCAAGTGCTTTTTTTTAACATGCTGAGCTCTCTTGTCAGCCCTGCTCAGACACCTTTCAATTGCAAGGGAAAGAAACCCTATCCCAACAGACTTAAAACTAAAAGAGGTCATTTATTTCAAGTAAACAAATCAAAGAGGGGTACAAATGAACATCATCTAGACAGTAAGTACTCACTTCTGTTTCTCTTTTCTCGTCACTGCTTAATTCTCAAAGACTCTCTTAGGTGGCTTCCATTTCCTGGCAAAGGATAGCATCAGACACTCTTCAACTTCTTGAAAATTACAGGGAAGAACTTTGATAGCTTGTTTTGGGTTCACATAACCTCCCTTCTGTAAACCATTATGTCCAGACAGATGTACTGATGTAATCTATGAGTTTACATTATATGCCTGTTCATCAGGGGTTGAAGGCCTATCATTGACAGTTCCAGAGACAGTTTGATAAATTGAAAGAGAGAGAAAGAGGGTGTGAATGGAAATGTGTTCTGGGCCTACTGAACAATTTGTATCAGCTGTATCTGGCAAAGGATGCAATTTTTATTGTTTATTTATTTATTTTGGTTTTTCAAGACAGGGTTTCTCTGTGTAATATTCCTGGCTGTCCTGGAACTTGCTCTGTAGACCAGGTTGGCCTAGAACTCACAAAGATCCACTTGTTTCTCCCTCCTGAGCGCTAGGACTAAAGGTGTGGGCCACCACCACTCTGCTTTATTGATTTATTTTAAGATGAGCTCTCAGCGTGACTTATTTTGTGGTAAAAAATGACCTTGAATTTCTGATCCTTCTGCTTCTACCTCCCCAGTGCTGGGATTGCAAGCATGACCACCACACTTGGTTTATGAGGTGCTGTGGATCCGACCCAGGACTTTGCACACGCTAGACCATCACTCTATCAAATGAGTGAGACATTTCTAGCCCCAAAGCATCCCACTTTTATTAGTTCATAAATATTTTGGTCAAACTGATAGAGAAACTTCCACAGGCGAAATAATTGACAAAACTAGTGTTAATTGTCTGACACATGGGTTAGGAGGTAAGTGAGGCAGCCTTCACCCGAGGCAGACCTACACCACTCGTAGGATGAGGATCTTTTATGCATCTACTGTGTCACCCTCAAGTCTTCCAGTCTAGCTAAGACAGTCTTTGTGCACAGGGCAGCACAGTCATTGCTAAGCAAGAAGAGATGGCATGGTTCCCAGTCAGCAAGAACTGTCTGAGAGTGTAGTGGCTTATTGTTGGTATTTTTGCTGCTGGGCCTCATGGTGTGTGTGTGTGTGTGTGTGTGTGTGTGTGTGTGTGTGTGTGTGTGTGTGTGTGGTGGGGGGATTGGTGGTAGTAAATAAAGTGTATCCCATATGATATCAGTCAGCACATTCTGTTTAGGTAGACGTTTGTGTTGCTTTCCATTTCAACCTCTGAGAAGTGACCTTAAGAATGTGCCATTACTCTACAATGGGTTCTGGTGGGCCCACTCACATCTCATCTTGGTCTTTTGTCTCTCTAACAGTAATTGTTTCTTTCATTGGAAATAAAAATCGAAGCTGGGAAATATGACCCACTCCTGTAACATTAGATTAGTACTTGGAAGACTGAGGTAAGAGGATGTCAAGTCCTAGGCCAGCTTGGGATGCTCGTGGTGAAATTGTCAAAACCAAAACAAATCAAACAATCAAAAAAGAAAGAAAAAAGAAAAAGAAAGAATCTGGAGAAGTGGCGACACACACTTTTAATCCCAGCAGCCTGGAGGCAGAGGTAGGCAGATCTCTGTGAGTTGGAGGCCAGCCTGATCTACAGAGCAAATTCCTGGGTAGCCAGAGCTACAGAGAAACTGTCTCCAAAAACAAAACAAACAAGAAAATAGAAAGAAAGAAAGATCAATTTCTATAGTGCCCTGAAAGGAAAAATAGTATCAATGACAAGGATCTTGTCCTAGATACGTATGGATGTGGAGAAATGCACAGCGAGCCAGAGTATTCTGCCAGCTGCATGGGGATGGGGAACAATGCCCCTTGAGAAATAGATGGCAAAAATCTGCCCAGCAAACGCAGAATCACTGTAGCCTTTGGCAAGTCCAGGCCACAGGGTAACCCACACTCAGCATGGTCTGGCATCTGGGAAAATACTACTGGGAAATAAGCTGTTGGCTGTCGGAACTCTCCTCAGCTGACCTCTGTATGCCTTTTTTGTTGTTTTATTTTTTGGCTTATTTTAAAAATGGGATTAAAAGAAATCTATAAAGGAAAATTCCATCCAAATGATGTGCATTTAGTCTATACTGCTAACAGCTTTGGCAGCAGTCTGGTTGAGAATAGATTGATTCAGACTCTGCTCTGTGAAGTTTGCTCAGACCTAGTTCTAGGAGGTCCATGATGCCAACCTGGGAGTGTCTTTGTGCTGCTGAGAAATACACTCCCCATCACTAGTAAATCCTCTGAAGCTTTTTTCCTGGAACCTTTCTAAGAATCCATCCAGTTCAGGGGCTCCTCTGTGTATTTCCCTACCTTTCTGTCTGGGTAGTCACTTTCTGGGACCCCAGTAGGTGAATAGAAAATGTACACTAGGGATACCCGGGAGACGGCTCCATCAGTAGAAACCTTGCTATGTAAAACATGAAGACCTAAGCTCAGATCCCTAGAAGTCACATTTTTAAAAGATGGGACCCAGGGCTAATGCTTATAATCTCAGTGCTGGGCAGGCAGAGGCAGGAGAATCCTTGGGACTTGCTACCTAGCCAAAATAGTTGAGTTGGTAATTTCTAGGTTCAATGAAAGACGCAAAAAATAAGACAGAGAGAAACTAAAGAAGACATTGATGTCAGCCTCTGCCCCACCCCTAATGTATACCAGCACATACAATATACACACAAAGAAAATGACACAATAATGCTGGGCAGGGATGGAGAAACTTTGTCTAGCCCAACTATGAAACTCTGGCCTGAGTGTTTTAATGCCCCAGTCTCAGCAGTTCATCCACACAGCCCCTTTTCTAAGTCAGATCTTCTATGTCCATCAGGTAGATGGGGAGATTAAAGAGTGGAAACGTATTAAGGTAAATCACAAGACTCTGACCCAGTAGACTATAAGCACTGAGTATATCATTTTCATTTACGCCTCCACACCATCCTGCAAG